TGCATGTATGTATGTATGTATACATGCATGTATGCATGTATGTATGTATGTATGTATGTATGTATGTATGTATGTATGTACATGCATGTATGTATGTATGTATCGTACGTCCGTCCGTATGTATGTGTATGTATGTATGTATGTATGTGCGTATATATGTTTCCACGAGGACCATAACTATCAACGATTTTTCTGCAAATAAAGTTCAAACCGTGAGCCGCGCAGACTTTAAATGCAAGTGAAAAGTTAATCCCCAAAGTTAGACGAACAAAACCCCACTTTCTCTAAAATCCTGAACTTCGTTAAACAAGGATAAACTTCACTTCACTTACTGAGTCAAACTCGCGAAAAATTCCTAACACTTAACCAGCCAATTAACAAGTGCTTGGCAGGTTTTCGGTTCGCCACAGACTTTACAATAGTCAATCACATGGCCAGCAGAATCTATTGGGAAAATTTCGGTTTTTATTTGCGTGAGTTTGTGATTGATGTTTGGCCCTCTTGCGAATGAGGAGAAGGAAGTGTTTTGGATATTTTGCGGCTGTGTGTGTTCAGATATGTTGAAAATTTGAGTGAAATGATAATGATTAAGCGCAAAGGCAGACACAAACACGTAGACACAAACACGTAGACACTCGCAAACAAACACATACACAATGCAACTGTAACAATGAAGGGAAGAACAAGAATATGCCGAAGGCCTTTTCGCTATTGCATCATCAGGCATGTCCTGATGAAGCAATAGTGAAAAGGCCTTCGGCATATTCGTGTAATTTCTTGTTCTTCCCTTCGTTGTTCCTGTTGCAATTTGTTCGACATGAATTCCACAAACACGCACGCACACACACACACACACACACACACACACACACACACACACACACACACACACACACACACACACACACACACACACACACACACACCACACACACACACACACACACACACACACACACACACACACACACACACACACACACACACACACACACACACACACACCACACACACACACACACACACACACACACACACACACACACAAACACAAACACACACAAACATAAATAAACAAACAAAAACAAGACTGCACCCAAAGACTCACCTGAGCATTCCAAACAACAGATGGCGGTCGTGCGTGGAGTATGTCACAGGGAACCTCGGGTACGTGGTCGGCGCCATGTTTGTCCGCCGGTACTTCCCTGAAGCCAGCAAGCACGACGTGAGTATAAGCATGTCTTCTTTATCTTTCTGTCTGTCTGTTTACATTTTCTTACCCGATATGTATGACTAAAATAATAAATGTTGAAGGTAGTAGTGATAATGAGGATAATGGTGCATATGATTCCACAGGTATGTTATCTCTCTCTAACTCTATGTCTCTATTTTCTCTAGTTGGTTGTAGGAAATGAGAGCAGTGTTGAAAGTCGTGGTGAAAAAAAAAAACATTATCTTTTCTCCTCATTTCTCATTGTCAAAGTACCCGTACACATCTATATTTCCGTACGTGATGATATATGAATTTCATAGAAGCATAGAAAATCCCGGAGTGATACGTTTATGAGGATAAACTGATACGATACTCCCGTCATTTAATTCTCCGAATGAAGCACACACACACACACACGAACACACACATTCACTGAAAGGTATAATAAACATGATATAAGCGATGAATTGCAAAATCTTCGGATCTGATTAGATATCAAGAAAATCCCTTAGTGGAGGTCGATCCAAGTTGAATCTCTAACACTTCAGTTCATTGTGACGAACGTGGGACAAAAGTATGAATGAAAATGATGCAAGTGCATGACGAATTTCGATGTTAGGTATTCGTCAGCTTAAGATAAACAATAATTACATTGAAGAGATAACATTTCGCGACACATATATCTTATGTTGTGAAATCATATCATACGCTTTCAATATTCAGACACCAGTGTTAAAAGTAAAGAGTCGGTTATTTTTTTTTTTACACCAATTTGAATAATGGTTTATAATTTATCTGTTATATTGAGTCTTAGACTCTTAGAGTCTTAGCTCCCCATTCTCCCGCTAAAAAGACAAATAATCGCAAAACAGAGTAAGCATTTTTAAAATTCCTGCTAGATTACAGCTCAAAAACTCTAGATCTTGCGGGAAAATCGCTAGAATGGGAACACTGCATTATCATAGGCTTCCCTCTCCTTCGCTATAAAAGAAGACTCGAAACCGAAGTGCTTGTAATCCGATTTCGAAACACGGCAGAAGAGAAGATCGAATCCTTTCTGAATCTATGGCCCTTGTCCGAGTTTATAATGGCCTGCTTCCCTCTCGAAAAGCGAAAGACCAAAATCACCAGACTGCTGAGTGTCGCTTCACGGGTTGCTGCTCTTTGCAACAACGGAAGAAGCGAGGGCAACATGCAACCTGTTCACGAGTCTTCTGTTATTATGATCCTGACATTTTCAAGCTGCAACAATACGGTTTGCCGGTAATTGGGCACTTGTTCCGCTCT